GCTGCTACTGGCTACAGGCACACATGAGAGACAAGTGGAGCTCATTGTTGGTAGTGTATTTTCCATATTAATCATACGTACAATTTCAGTTCCGGTACCCTTAATGAAATGCTACATTAATGCCCATTAAAAATACCGGATCCATTCGGATCCTTTTCGCGGAACACTACTTAAGGACAGTTCAGTGGCCAGAATTAGGATTAGGGTAAGAACTCGGCGGATTCTTGTTATTGGGCATAGGATCGATTTTCTGTTCACGTGATTTTCTGATGACAGTTAGCCAATTAAAAACCGAATCAAAACAAACGTTCGCTTTTGCAAAATTTATGCTTATCACGAAATATAGACTAGTAAATCGCCTTTTTGGTCCTAACAAAAGATTTTCTTCGCGCAATTTTACTATATAATATCTTTAAACCCAAACCCTAACGTAAATACTGTAAATTTTTTATATGACGTCGGAAAATCACATGACCGTAAAATCGAATCTATGACCTGTCAATTTCATTATTGCGGCCGGACGGACTACTCCACGTGATCTCTATGATCGTAAATGTCCTCCGCTTCGCTCCGGACAATAAAATTTTGAAGAAATATACATCCTTTATATTGTTATAAATAAAGCTTTAAAAGGTATCATACCCTGGGCCACCGTTAAGCTATTTAATAAATTTGAATTTTTTAATTAATGATTCAACAAATGAAGATACTGTAAGTTATTACATTTACATACCCAAAGAACGATCGGATCTTCATGAGGTTTATTTCTCGATTCGAAAAACCAAAAGAATAGATGTTTAGTGCTACTAACATCAAGATATCCTGAATACTAATATTTAAAATTTAGTATTTAAACAATTATCAAAAATTCATTATCTGCTATTATAAATAAATAAGTCATAAACCTGTTGAACAGTTTTATCACAAAGACGCGGTTCTTTCAACTTAATTTTGTACTCAGGAAAAGCATTATGCGTTAATATTTTTGTCCGTTGAGCCGAAGCAAAATGGCATAATAACAATATTCCGAGAACAAGAAATATTGCTTCAAACTTAAGATGCGCTAAAACAGTCATATTTTCTTGTAAGATTCGTTTACAAATGAGATCGCGTCTTTTTAAAAATCGTATTCGCTGATACTTATAGTATTTATAATGACACAGTCACCTGTGACAAGACCAATGAAAACTTTAATCAAACATGCATTTATTATTGCATTTAGGGAGATACAGTCAGACCTCTCTAAATGCATGGCGTCGGGCTAACAAAAAACCTTGCATTTAGAGAGGTATTGCATTTAGGGAGGTAAAAATCTATAAGTAACCTATGAGTTGGGACAAAGCCAAGCCATGCATTTAGAGAGGTTGCATTTAGGGAGGTCTGATTGTATTGACCTAGGAAGGTATTGCATATAGGGAGGTTAACGATAAGGGGTATCCGTAATTTACGTTAAACCAGTGTTTGAAATTTGTGTTCACTATTAAAAATTTTTTGAGAACAGTAAATTAATGATTGTGTTCTCATAAATATATAATAAGTAACTGCAGATTTGAAATAAAAAATGTGCCACGTTGTAAAGATTAATTTTAAGAATTCTTTTTTATAAATCGTTTGTTTAACACAAATTTTACGTTTAATCCGTAGCACTACTATAGTACTTTTTCTAATAAATATTGTTAGGCTTCTTTTTTTTTTTAAACATAAAATACTAGTTAAGAACACCTATAGCTATTATACTGTTCTCATGAGAACAGTATTTGGATCTGAAATTTCAAACACTGGTACTGTATTGTATAGAAAAGAGACCTGAAAATAATGCCATATTATAGATGATTCCTAGATGATAGATTCGCCGATGTGCATTATTGTTTACTTTTCTGCTTTTGCTGCAAAAGGTGCGTGGGTTCTTGGGAGCATGCCTTAGGCTGAAAGACGGGAGATAATTGTGAATATGATTGAAATGAAATAAGGTTCGCGTTGTACAGGATGCGAGTATCTAGTAGCATCAGTAGTCAAGACCTAAACTATCGACTGATTTAAGGCGTCTGACCAATCAGATTCGTTATTGAGTCCATTGAGGTAGGTGCTTGAGAACACCCTTAGTCACTTAAAGTACGTCCAAGAAGAGTTGAACAAATTGGCCCTTGCATTGCTGAAATGGCCGCTGTTTTAACATGTTGGTCTAATAGCTCAGTAGATTCTCCTGCTTGCATGAAAACTGTAGAAGCACTTACTGAATGTATGCGTAATTCTGTATTATTTATTCTTTATAACACTGAAATTTTAACAGCTAAATTTAATATATATCAAAAAGCCAAAAAAGTCAAATCAATCGAGTACTATTAATTATCATCTCGCAAATATTTGTGATTTTTTCGGCAATATACTATTAGAGATCGAAAAATGGGACATTATATGCAGTAATCAACGGTCCAGTTCTTATTTTATTATACAATAATTTCAGAGAATGTAACCGTAAAATTATGAATAAAGTTATTGATAGATTTTATCGCAGAGTAACATCCAATTTTTCCGCAACTGACTCTCTTATTTTATCTTGAATTCCGTTGATTTCTTCATTGGTACATGTTCTAAAAAAACAATGTAGAAATTTAGATTGATGAAAGTGAAATGCATGGTTGAGAAGTAGTTGTTGGAAGCTTACCTATCCATAGACCTATAATTGATTCTGAAGCATAAACTTCTTTTTTTTGTTTTAGGGTGCATAAAATCATCAATCTAAGATCAAACAAATATATTCAGTTAATGCACACAACTTTTGACATTATAAACGCGTTAATAATTACCAATTTTACATCTTCAACTAAATCTTCAGCGATATCCCTTACGATTTCACAAAAATTAGTTATATGAAATTCATGTTCTTTGTCATTATTCATCCAAAAACTTAGATCTTTAATACATGAAGGATATTTTGAGAACGGCTTAAATTTAATGATTTCATTCGAAGTAAATTGATTGATAAATCGTGGGTCCTTTGACCAAAAGAGACGTATATCCGGTATATTAAACAACACCATTGCTATACGTTCTAAACCCAATCCAAAAGCCCAACCTATTTTATCAGGTTGCCCTTTTTGTAAAATAAAAAAGTGAGATGATGCATTAAAAAGAAATTAATAGTATAATTATTTAATAAAAAAAATTTTTTTTTTTTACAATATTTTACAATATTTTAATTACCAGCATTATTCAAAATATCTTGTTTTATTACACCGCACCCACACACTTCAAGCCACTTTCCTTGATAAAATATTTCCATTTCCCAACTAGGGCTAGTGAAAGGAAAATATGCGTCGACCCACCTTACTTGCAAATTCTTTTCGTCTATAAATAACATTTTAACCAACTCATTTAACGAATATTTCAGATGTGAAATTGTTGCGTTAGCAACCTCAATAGGATGACAAGGTTGTATAGGATTTGTAGTACTAATCACAGTATTATCATCAGTATTTATATGACGATATTGTTGAGAAGTAGAAATTTGCATATCACAAGCTATTTCTTCAATAGCTTTATTAATAGAAAAAATTTGAGCACCTTCCATTTGATGAAAAACTGGATAATGACATGTATCTATTTCGTCTCTTCGATAAACATCAGCGCTTATTAAAAATTTTTCAGCGCCAGTTTGGAAAGCTTGACGTTGGTGTGCAGAAGTATGAGTTCGAAGCATTATTGAATTGTTAATGTAATAACTATCAGTAGTACTTCTTCCTGGATGATTGGCAGGAAAACCAAGTTCATCAAAATTCTGAACAGTAGTTACAATAGGACTAAATGAATTAAAATGATGAAATTTATCAAAATAAGATTCTATACAATTACGAAGAATTAATATAGGATGATATTGTTGAAGATATAATTGACGCGTAGTTTTTGATAGAATTGAAGGAGTCACATTTGTTAAATTATCACGTGGATAAGCACGCCCTTCCACATAGATTAATTCATCAGTAATGTAAGGTTCAGCGTAAGTCGTAAAGAAACGTTTATAGTTGTTAGGAGAGACGTTTTTTATGTGTTGACGAAAGACGAAACCTAAAACCGACGAAAGACGAAACGGTTTGTCAAGTGACGAAAGATGAAAATATGAAACCCCTGACGAAAGACGAAACCTCTAATGAAACCAAAGATTAAACTCGTCTTAGAATGCATTGCGGATTCGAAAGTATATACGAGATATTATGAGTTTTTTTAATTGAATTTGACTCAGGTTCTCCAGTATTTTAGAGGAAATGATGCAACCACGTGATGATAATCGCTGATAATCTAATTGGTCATGTAGAAGATTTAATAGTGGTCCGAATCAATCGATTAGTTGGAACAACTTTTGTAAATTAGTTGCACACGGAAAAGTATAGATTTATAACGTCGAGATATAGAGTAATCTCTTAATAAAACATCATCGAAATTAGATTCCTCATCAAAAATTTCAAAATTAATTTGTCGACAGCCACTATTGATCATGAATATTGCACTATTTATGTTATAAATCACTTTCTTTTTATTCTGTCATTCATGCTTGTTATTTTGCACGATGCATACGTCATCCATACTTATATTATATTGCACTATACGAATTAAAGGAAAAAACAAATAGTATAATTTATGATCAATGACCGCCGTACTATAATACCATTATAGCATGATAATTCTGAGATACATCACATTGGTACAGCGACAATTTTTCAGAAAATGCGCATTCTCTGATCAAAAAAATTATCACTATACCAACGCGATCATACTAATATATATTATATTCAGGGTTGGCATGGACCGGTCAGTGGTCAAGCTTGACCAGACTAGTTTGACCAATTTGACCAGTTGGTCAAAGGGTT